CATCCACTGGCTCCCTTTCGTCCAGCAGGCGAGTCCAATCGTTCAACGTAGATAATAAGTTAGTGGTGCAGGATCTGCCGGCAATAAAACGATGTTGACAATCTGATATGAGATGGTGAGCAGTCAAGTGATCGATAATCCAATCCCTCACAACAGATTCCATTAGCTTACAAACAACACTTGTCAGACCAGACTGACAGGGCGATAGTTGCCGGGGCTGCTTTTGTCACCTTTTTTGAACAATGGTGTTACTTGAGCTTCTTTCCAGTCGGACGGCAAAGTTCCTTCGTTCAAGGTTTTTTGAAAGAATACTGTCAATGGGCCGGCCAGAACGGTTGCTAATTCTCTGAGCAATCTGGGATGTAAACCGTCTGGTCCACATGACTTGTTGGGATTTAGAGCTACCAGGCGCTTGAGAACCTCTTCTTCGTGTATTTCAAAGCATGTTAACTTCGAGCCAACTGGGCGCTCCTCAATATCTGGAATACTGTTCAAGTCCTCATCTGTGAACACACTGCTGAAGAACTGATTAAGAACGTTAGCCTTGTCCTCATCAGAGGAAATCTTCCGTTGGCCTACTTTCAAATCAGAAATACCGTCCTTTGACTTACATTTCGAACTAGCGTACAAAAAGAAGGCTTTCAGCTTCTTTTTTGCATTTTTAGCAATATTTTTTTCGAAGTTTTTCACTGCAGCGCGACAAACTTTTTTAGCTTGATTTCGAGCTCTGGCATACAGGTTATAATCAGACTCGCTGCGAGTTCGTAAATAACGCTTGTAGGCTTCTTTCTTGGTTCATCCACTGGGACTTTTTGACTCCTCCAAGCGTAATCTTGGGTACACAAGCATCAATTGCAGACATAACCGTGTCTTTGATAAACGACCATGAATCAGCCACATTCATTTCCTTAATACAGTCCGAAATATTCGCCGCATTCACCGTTTCACGGAGTGTATCATAGTCGCCTTTCGCAAAGTTCAAACGTTCACGCTTCCGAAGCGTCTTTTCTGCACAACACTTAATATTGAAAAACAATGTTTGGTGGTGGCTTTTGCCCAACGGAGCCTCGTGGCGAAGCTCATCTATCATTGATTCTTCACTAGTAAACACAAGATCTAGAATATTTGGGGTCTGTTTACCCCTAAAATGGGTTGGCTTGGTGATGTTCTGGATTAAAAATGAGTCTCGCACAGACTCCAAGAACAAGGATGCTGGGTGATTCCCGTCTCTTGGAGAAGATTCATCTGCCCAGTCTATTTCTGGATGGTTAAAGTCACCAAAGATCAACGTATGCGACCTGCTGAATGACATGCTCGGTAAAAGGCTGTTTAGTACTTTATTGTTATCAGAGGAGCTGTTAGGTGATCTGAAAATGACCCCTATGAGAAGGCTATCTTTGCCTTTTAGAGTAAGTTCACACCACACTGATTCTCTAGCTGATTGATGCTCTGCAGATAATTTAACTTGCTGGGCCCCAAATGAGGTTCTAACCCACAGAGCTACACCTCTACTGCATGCACTGCTCTTCATTTAAGTTATGAAAACAATCAAAACCTGGCAGCTGAAATTCAACAGGTACAATTTTCCCCCCGTGATTTTTAGGGAGTGTTTCTTTAATACAAATAATGTCTATACACTCGTTTGCGATCACAGCTAACAGTTCACTTTTCTTGTTCAAAACGGAATCCGAGTAGCAACTTGTTGGTAACATTAGGGAGTAGCAACTTGTTGGTAACGTTATTCAACATATAATTAGCTTTCAATTATATTTTGGTATTCGAAAATATCAGAAGTTTATTATGAAGTAACATTTTTTAAGCTAGCTTCTAACAGGCTTGCTCAGTCGTGTGTGTGTGCGTACGTCGTGCGAGCAAGATAAGATAGTGACGGAAGCACAGATCAAGAGAACGAACTAAGAAAAAATGACGGTAATATCTTGGGTAGAACATAAACGCAAAAAGAAAGTTCAATCAAATAGCTATACTATAAGATTTGCTCGAGTGTTTCTTTCGTTCAGGAAGTGGACTGTAACGCGTACAATATATGTAGCCAATGTGATCAGCTTGAACTGATATTGGGGAGATAACGTTCCCATCAAATCATTTCCTCCGATAACACGTCTGCATCACTTAATTAAAGTTATCCACCTGATCGTTTTTCAAGATTTCATTTTCCTAAATGCAGAGCCCCAGATAGCAATTATGATACGAAAACGCAATAGAAGAGGTTTTCAAACTTAAACAAATTAACGCGAACAGTTTCATAAGAAAATACGGAAGTACAAATTTTAAATGATAGAATCATTTCAATTTCTGTTAGAGCAACATGAGCCAAGCCACTACTCGCCTGACGACAGACAAACGTTCTCTATTATTATGGATTATAATCAAACTTGCACAGTTTAGTTTTTCTACATTCTTCGGACGCAACGTATAATAATATCTTTTGCTTAAAATTTCCGTACATGACGACACTTGAATGGACTAAATGAATTAGCAACATCGTAAATTTCTTATAGCACCACATCGCATTTATCTTAATTCCCTTTCTCTCCTCCCGAGTCAGAACAAACTAATAGTTGATGTCCACCATTCATTATTAGAGAAACATATCTTAAATTTTTTTCTAAATGTATAAAGCAATTCCTGGAGCTCACTTACGGTCCTATGGCCTGAAGTTTTTTCTCGTCATCGCCGTTGTCTTGCTAGTGCTTTCAGCATTGATGTTTCAACACCGTTATTCAGGTAAAGTCAATCCTCCAGCACGCAGAATTTGTTGAGAAATATTTTGTTTGACAGTAATTCAAAATTTATGGGATTTCATGTTATTATATACATGCATTAATAGTTACCTTAAAACCTAGATTAGAAGCGTGTTGTCAAATTGCGTCAAAACTGGGCACACAAACAAAAAAATAGTTTTTTATTAAGAAAATTCAGTAAACTTTCTAGACATATTTTTTCAACCATTCCAGAACCCGCTGCTGATGTTCGACAAGAGCACCTCAGCTTGCAAGAAAATCAGTTAGTTAATCCCGCATCATTACAGACCTTGCAAAATAAGGTTGGTTTTTGGGATCAGTTAGTCCATCCTGCATCATTACAGACCTTGCATGATAAGGTTGGTTTTTGGGATCAGTTAGTCCATCCTGCATCATTACAGACCTTGCAAGATAAGGTTGGTTTTTGGGATCAGTTAGTCCATCCTGCATCATTACAGACCTTGCAAGATAAGGTTGGTTTTTGGGATCAGTTAGTCCATCCTGCATCATTACAGACCTTGCAAGATAAGGTTGGTTTTTGGGATCAGTTAGTCCATCCTGCATCATTACAGACCTTGCAAGATAAGGTTGATTTTTGGGATCAGTTAGTCCATCCTGCATCATTACAGACCTTGCAAGATAAGGTTGGTTTTTGGGATCAGTTAGTCCATCCCGCATCATTACAGACCTTGCAAGATAAGGTTGATTTTTGGGATCAGTTAGTTCATCCTGCATCAGTACAGACCTTGCAAGATAAGGTTGGTTCTTAGGATCAGTTAGTTCATCCTGCATCATTACAGACCTTTCAAGATAAGGTTGGTTTTTGGGATCAGTTAGTTCATCCTGCATCAATACAGACCTTGCAAGGATAAGTTTTTTTTGGGGGGGAAGGGTATCAGTTATAGTTCATCCTGCATCATTACAGACCTTGTAAGAGAAGGTTGATTCTTGGGAGCGAGTTCAATCCCAGCTTCCTGTAACAGTTCTGGTACAGATCTGGGAGGTGGCCCTAGGATGCTGCAATAATTCCACGATGTCAAGAATCGGCAACAGACAAGATTTGGCTTATGCAACACTTACACCACTATCACTATTGCGGCCTGAGAGAACTCTAACTGAGTATTAGCATGGCACATGCATTATTATCACGAATAAATTGAATAAAAATGTTGCTTGGTTTATCATTGTTTATCCCAAATATTTGAACCTTAATCAGAGAAAAATATATTCAGGCATTTTCGCCGAAAAAGAGTATTCGGAAAATGTCATAGTTTTGACATTATTCTACGTTTCCAAAATAATTTCAAAGGTTTCACCATTTAAATGTTAGAGTTAGTTATTATGATGCAATGGTAAGCGATATATTGTAGTTCGTGCTCAATTTTTGTGTTTCTGATAATAAATAATGAATTTCTCAGATTGACATCCTGGAACGGCGCCTGGCTCGCATGTCGCACGCCATCGAGAAGCTTTGGTGCACCACGCAGGACGTGATGAGCAACGGCGGATTCTGCGTCACGGCCGAGAGAATCTACACGGGCGGCAACAAGAACTTTTTCGCAGAGGCAAGAGGGACATCCGTAATTTACTCGTTGAGAAAAAAAAATTGCTTTATAACACCGATGGAAAGTTTAATGTTGTGGAATCATCATGCCTTATTCATGCATGATCACCCAAAATATTTCAGAAAATATTCATGTGTATCATAATTTTCAACTTACGTCACTGACATCACTAGTCTCTATGACTTAACACTCAGCTAAGAATATATGGAATACAGTATATTGGTTGAATTTTTAGTAAAAACATCAAATCAGTTTTTATTGTGTTATGAAACTTGGTTGTCGATGTTAACATTGTACATAATTTTTCATGACTCGGCAGCCTTTCCTGCATCATGATCATGCAATTGCCGAGCAGTTTTGCTACTTCGTGGAGGAGTTGGTGGGCAACGCCTCGGTGGCGGACTTCGGCGCGGGGCTCGGCAAGTACGGCATGTGCTTGCTGCGTAAGAACCAAACAGATTTCCGTCTCGACGAAAAACAAAAGAAGCAATACAACGATGACATGAAAAAAGCTATGAAAAACCTCAAACACAAGCCACAAATAATATATTCATGGCATGGTAAGTAAATTAAATAAAATTTAATGGATTTTGAAATAACTTATATTCCGCGCGTACTGGCATCAATCAAGTTTGTAAAAATTACCTCAGAAATTTCAAATGCGTTTTGGACATCGAAAAGTTTGAGTAAATTTTCATAGGAACTCTTTATTCTCAAAGTTATTTGTTAACCTGACGGAATACCAATTTTATCCTCGACTCCTGAAGGTTTTGACGGGGGCTTCGCCATCGAGGAGGTGAGCGGCGGCTTCATCGCGCACGCCGACCTCAGCGAGGAGGGCCTCTGGCTCGGCAGGAAGTGGGACTGGGTGATGAGCGTCGAGGTTGGGGAGCACATCGATCCTAAACATGAAGGCCATTTCCTCGATAACCTCGTGCGGCATGCATGTGCAGGTAAGAAACTAGGACTTGAACGAACCTCGTGTGAAATATTTTTTTCTTCTCGCCATATACATTGAGAATATAAATTAGCAAGAAGTCTCCAATATCATTCACTCAATTGAATATGCAATATTCAAAACGTTTATCTTCTACTGAGAGTTTTGTCACTAATTATAATGAAGAAGAATCTTTCGCACAGATTTCATATAATTTACGTGCTTGAATCTCGTACCAAGCAAGCTTAGTTTCGCCTGGAAAGATATGCGAAGCAGTATTCTTATTTCTCAGAACTCGTCTGTTGTTGCTTGTAGCAATGCGTATCTCTGCGACTTTTTAAAATATTTTCTAACCTAAATATTTTTGGTTCAGGGATCTTGCTGACATGGGCAGTGGAGGGCCAGCGCGGCCATTTTCATGTCAACAACCACAACAACGACTACATCAAGCAGAAGATGCTGGACCGAGGCTTCGTCTCGGACGAAGAGGCGGAGAAGCGTCTGAGGGCTCGTTCAATAGGTTATTTGGCCAACACGTCCATGGTCTTCCGGCGCAAGAACCCCACGTCCTGCTTGACGGAATGAAAATTTTGAGAAATAGAATCAACCGAATGTTGTGAGAATTCTAATAAAGAAATGTTCATTTTGAATAGATCATAGTCTTGATGTCTTGATATGCCTAGCACCTTAAGAGCCTTGCAATGCAATGAGTCCAGCAGCTATCTCGAACAATAAATCCGTTGGTTATGGAAAGATCGGGTTCATAATGCCGGATCCCTTGAGGAATCAAGTCACGAAAAGTACAAGAATCGACAACAGGCCGCATGGGCCTATTTCTTCAGTGCCGACATTTCTATTCTATTCTATATTGTCCAAATTGTGACACACTTTCTTACCAACAGAACATGCACAGAGCTGAAGTATTACTAAAAAATCCTGATGTTGGGCTACACTGGGTCACGATTATTTATTACTATTATTTGAACAATGACTCTCTTAGTTCTAGGGAGCTTTATTCTTTAGATGCCTCTCAACCCTTGATAAAAAGTAGAATGTTACAAACGAAAACTAGTCAATATCTATTCTATCATGCTGATAACAATATACCGAATTCAATTACAATTGAATTAAGACTCAAGAATCATTCTTTTAGCTACGCGTAGGTCCCAACTTGCTCAAAGTTGGGACCTACGCGTAAAATTACAAAGTACTTCCAAAATAAACGTTGATTATTTAATTCCTGTTCGTCACCGCAAAACTCAATCAATCCCCAGAATATATTAATATTAAGAAGCATTCTTACATTTTTTTAAACCTAAATGTACAGCTTTAGCCAATAAAAACGAACTCTTGAATAAACATTTCTTTCTCATTGTCTTTTTCTGAAGCTACCGTAATAATTTATTGAAAGAGAATAGCATATAGTATAAAATCTGTGCTAGAATCTGAACGAGGTTTATTAGGGATTCTAATTAAGTACAAAATCGAGCATCAACGATGCGTCCGAATGGCTTCTACGTTCCTTCTATATGGCACGAGTTACATAAGGATCTTTCTGCCGAGTTTTCTGTTTCGTATAACAATGATATAAATGTAGGGTTACTAATTAGAAACTCCATATCAATTGGGTAAATTTAATTCAATGGTACTTAGCTGAATTATAAGCAAACAGTAAGATATCTTGGAACTCGTATTGCTGAAACAGAACAATTCTTAATGCTACTCCCAATTAATGCTACTCCCAAAGACAACACGCTACTGCACCCTACTTTCGAGAAGATTGTCTACGAATTTACGGTGATGAAAAATGTGAAGAGCCTAACGAAAAAATCTGATCCGCATTTATAATAGGACTGGTGATAGCTCGTGAAGTGCTCAACTAATTCGTTACATAAACATTCAATACAGTTTCAAATTATCATCTTGCACTACTATTCATTGACCGAAGAATGTAGCCAGGCAAACCAATCGCGCTCCGCCAGTGTGGCATCAGCTCAATCACAGAATTAACTGTTTTTTTTTTCAGCTTATCCGACCAAGAATTTGACCAGCGGCGGCTCTATTTGTCAACCGGCCAGTGTAAAGTATGAACTATGAGACATCTTTTTGTCTACTGACGATAACTCTGCCTACTATGCCTTTTATTGAAAACTGTCAATTTAATAAAAGAATAAAGTTAATAAGGCTTCTGAAACGCATCTCGCATATGAGTGTTTCCGCTGCACCGAAGTGATAAGTCGAACTACACAAACTCAACACGACTTTATGGTGATGCGTGGTGGGCGATGGGACTATATGCTTAAGCAGAGACAATCAGTTAGGTAAGTTAGGTAAGGATACCTTGAGCGGAGCTCAAAGGCACACATCATCAAGCCACACGAAATATTAAGGTTTCCGGAAACTACGCAGCACCATATATTTTCACCGTCTGATTTAATTAAAATGAGTGGGAAATTTTTGCTCTGAATCATTAACAGTCTATTTTCACTCGCTGGTTCAGTAAGACGACAGGAACTTCGAAAACAATCGTAAGCAACAACCAGTAAACTTTTCAATCATTGAGGCAAGACGTGGGGTTCTTGCGCCGGAAGACCATGGACGTGTTGGCCAAGTAACCTGTTAAACGTGCCTTCAAACGCTTCTCTGCCTTTTCGTCCGAGACGAAGCCTCGGTCCAGCATCTTCTGCTTGATGTAGTCGTTGTTGTGGTTGTTGACGTGATGATGGCCACCCTGGCCCTCCACTGCCCATGTCAGCACGATCCCTGAACATGAATGATGACGGTTAAGAAATATTAATAAGCCAGCAGGTTTTTCGAAAATATTTCATTCCCTTACTCCGAAATGGACAATATCATTATTCTCTTGATCCGAGGGTAAAACTTAACAGCGTCACTAAAATGTCCAGAAACAATTCTCTTACCGCATCCACATAAGGTTACACAATAAGCCTAGTACGCTTGGTACGGTACAATTTACAAAATATGAGCTGAGCGAGAAGAGGCTGCCTGCTGTTTATGTATCGGGTATAATTCTAAGTCTACTATTTCTATCGAAATTTAGCATCGAGTATTGCCTAATATTACCACATATGACCTTTTTTATCGGTGCTGCCCCAAGTACAAATATTTATGTTCCTCGACTCGTTTCTCTAAGACGTTTGCAACGTTACTATTGATTTGTGCGTTGACATGTCGTTAACTTAGCTGGGATTGAAAGCCCATAGTACTGGCTTGAGCTTTTATTTGGATGATATTAATCATATTACTTACCAACACTACTACTTGCCTACAAATTTTATCAAACCAATCAGTGTTACCTCCACAGGCGTGACGTGCAAGGTTGTCGAGGAAGAAAGCCTCGCTGTTGCTCGAGATGTGCTCCCCAACCTCAATGCTCATCACCCAGTCCCACTTCCTGCCGAGCCAGAGGCCCTCCTCGCTGAGGTCGGCGTGCGCGATGAAGCCGCCGCTCACCTCCTCGATGGCGAAGCCCCCGTCAAAACCTTCAGGAGTCGAGGATAAAATTGGTATTCCGTCAGGTTAACAAATAACTTTGAGAATAAAGAGTTCCTATGAAAATTTACTCAAACTTTTCGATGTCCAAAACGCATTTGAAATTTCTGAGGTAATTTTTACAAACTTGATTGATGCCAGTACGCGCGGAATATAAGCTGTCTCTTATACACATCTAGATGTGTATAAGAGACAGCGTTTAACAGGTTAGAGAAATAATGATTTAAAGATGAGNTCACCTCTGCTTCGAAGGTTATGCTGGCGCCCGTGTAGATTCCTCTCACCTCGGTTTCAAAGATTATGCTGGCGCCTGTGAAGATTTCTCTCACCTCTGCTTCGAAGGTTATGCTGGCGCCCGTGTAGATTCCTCTCACCTCGGTTTCAAAGATTATGCTGGCGCCTGTGAAGATTTCTCTCACCTCTGCTTCGAAGGTTATGCTGGCGCCCGTGTAGATTCCTCTCACCTCGGTTTCAAAGATTATGCTGGCGCCTGTGAAGATTTCTCTCACCTCTGCTTCGAAGGTTATGCTGGCGCCCGTGTAGATTCCTCTCACCTCGGTTTCAAAGATTATGCTGGCGCCTGTGAAGATTTCTCTCACCTCTGCTTCGAAGGTTATGCTGGCGCCCGTGTAGATTCCTCTCACCTCGGGTTCGAAGATTATGTTGCCGCCCGTGTAGATTCTCTCGGCCGTGACGCAGAATCCGCCGTTGCTCATCACGTCCTGCGTGGTGCACCAAAGCTTCTCGATGGCGTGCGACATGCGAGCCAGGCGCCGTTCCAGGATGTCAATCTAAGAAATTCATTATTTGGTATCATATATACAAAAATTAGGCACAAGCTACAATATATTGCTTACCTATGAATCGATATCATAATAACTAATACTACCGTTGAAATGGCGAAACCTCTGAAATTATTCTAGGAACGTATAATAATGTCAAAACTATGACATTTTCCGAAGACTCATTCTCGGCGCAGATGCCTGAATATATTCTTCACTGATAAAGCTTAAAATATTTGGGACAAACAATTACAAGCCAAGCGATATTTCTATGTTCCTTATAAGTGATACTTATGCATAGGTCATGCTAATACTCAGAGTTCTCTCAGGCCGCAATATATGTAGTGAAAGTGGTGCAAGTGTTGCGTAAGCCAAATCTTGTCTGTCGCCTATTCTTGACATGATGGAATTGTTACAGCTTGCTAAGGCCACCTCACAGATCTTTCCCAACTATCTCAGGCAGCTGGGATTGAACCCGCAACTCACTGCTCCTATCTTGGTACTTTGAAATGTAACCACTGGGCTAGCCTGACCCAATTAAGTGCTCTATGATTTCAGAACAGGAATATCAATGACGGCGAGATTGTTTGCGGATAACGCCAAGTGTCACAGTGAGCGACCAGCTTCACTAATTGTTCTTTTAAAATGATTCATGAGCAGATTATGAGAATTGGCTCACTGTTAATTGAAATAATTCCGTTTTATGAAATGTAAATTGAATTTAATGTACGCATTCGATAGACGGAATACATTTAATTCACTAATCCTCAAGTGAATAATAACTCCGTGCCAAAAAATTAAATTAAATTCCGATAATCGTGATATTTTCATCGTAGTTATTTCCATTATAGTGGTCGGAGCAGCTACCATATCAAACGTATAATATCTAGTATAATACAAGCATAAAGTGTGCAATATATGCCATCAAGACGAACTACATAGCGACAATATTGCGAAGTTATGCAAGCATATTTGGTGACTGTTACATATGCCGACCACTTCGTGGTTACACTACTCTTGCACAGCATGTAATATTAATGTAACAACGTCGGCTTTCAAATCTTAAACTATTTGCAGGTTGGTTGCACGACAGCAATTATGACCTTATCGCAGGGGTTAGCTCTTCAGCGTTATTGTATTGGCCGAATTAATGCATTGTTTATAGATTCGTTTTACGATTCAATCGTAGAACTCATTCATAAGGAACCTTGAGATAAACATCAACAAATATTGTCTTGAACATCCGTTATGTAGCTATTATTATCATTAGTTACATATAACGCATCCTAGCAGAACTTTAGAGATGACATCGATAACATCGCTAACCTTCTCTTGAACATCCTGCAAGGATGGAGAAAGACCCTTCCGATTCTTCGATTCCTTCTGTTTCATCTGGTGAACCAAATCCTCAAAAGCAGCAGCTTGGCCTGAAAGTTAATGATGTTCAATGGCAACACAATAATATTAATATGCGTAATTTCGTAACTTAGGTGTTGAATTTTTTTATTTACAAAAACATTCAGTGATTCTAGGCAACCTGGCCAGATAACATGAATGCGCTGTATGTTATGCATAACTTTTTTTAACTTTTTGTCGAAGTCTCGAGCCATTTCCGACATGAAACTCAATTTCATGTCGGAAATGTCAGATTTCAATTAATTATCTATTTTGAATCTTATTAAAGAAGACGAAATTACATAATTTATGACTCACAGGAAAACTAAATAAAATTAGGTCAGGTAGGTGAATTAATCATACCTGAACTGCGCTGCAGGAAAAGAGTCACCATGTGCGTTAGACCAAGAAGTACGAGTATAAAAATAATTATCGAAGCATTGGACATCAAGTAATGTTTGTCAAATATTTTTCTCTTTAATAAATGGAAATTACCAGACATTTTTTTTTGGAACACAGTTTACAAAAAAGTTGAGGCTGTATTGACGATCGCTTTGAAACTTGGTATTTATGATTCGTTCTGATCAAGGGTGAGTTTAATCCCTGGAAGGTACAGAGTCAGTGTGTCACTGGAGGCAAATATCGAAATATAGATAAATAATATGCAACGTATATGCCAATAACTTATTCCATTACATAATATTTTTCTTGAAAGCCCCTGCTACTGCATGGTGTTCTAACAAATTGGCTTTCACGATGTATCTATTTGTTAATTGGCTTTCACGATTCGTCTATTTGTTAATTGTCTTTCACGATTTATCAATTTGTTAATTGGTTTTCACGATTTATCAGTTTGTTAATTGGCTCCCACGATTTATCTATTCATCTTCACGGGAACGTAATTTATCGGATAATATTTCCAGCTTATAAAAAATTGATCAGTCAACTGGCTTATAAAAACTCAATGCCTGATCGAAGCATTGAATTCCACTTTAAAGCTTACAATCATATATGAACGTTTTTATTCACTTATTATTAGTAAACCTTGTCAGGATGCACAATTTTACAATGTAATAATCGCGAGAGTAGGTACAATTGTATCTACTCTAGGTACAGGTACAATTGAGAGAGTATGTATGTAGGTGCAAATATTGTAGGTACCTTAACCTAGGAGATTAGGTACAATTGTATCTACTCTAGGTACAGGTACAATTGAGAGAGTATGTATGTAGGTACAATTGTAGGTACCTAGAAGAGTAGGTACAATTGTACCTACTCTCTTCTTACTAGAGTAGGTACAACAATTTGTACTACACCCCGCTTGCCTGACTAGCTCAGGTGGCTGATGATGTGATACTGCGGTCCAGGGCCGAGATTACAACTAATGACATTTACTTGATGAAATGAAACAAGTGTCACGTACAAAAAATCAGATAAATTTCCAGAATAATCTTGATAAATTAATCAATTAAACTCACTTATAAAATGAATTTAGTTAGCGCCATCATTAATGCATGGAACTTTTGCAGAAAGACGAGATCAATTAGCGTTGACACCTGTGAAATAAATGAGAAAATTTTTGAAAAAATTACAGTTCATAAATTTTTTCATTGGTCTCAGTGAAAATCACACCAAGGAATACTAATTTTTGTGTCCGAAAATAATGATCATGCGACCGACAAATCTGATCATGTGCGTTTTTTTTCTTTATGTATTTTTTTAATGCACATTCACTGATAAATCCGACCAAGTAGCGATATTTAAAGTGATTGTCACTTACACGGATGACTATTCAAAAATGTATTGGTGACATTGAAAAATTTGGCCTGCACAGACGCAGAAAGGGTAGCAGTAGGGCATCCATGGTGTTGTGGGAGAGCTTCCAACATGTATGGGCTACCCCCAAGGGATAATGTGAAAGCAAGACACTAGATTAAAAAAGTGGCGAAAACCAGGCCAGTGAGGCCAAAGAGTTTTATTGGAAAACGCCATGAACCTAACCATAAAAATATAACAGTGTGCCAATACAATACTGACTACAAATGAAGTTGAACCTAGCTGAAATTCTAGCACAAGACCAATGTAAAAGTCGAGATTTTTGTGAACTTAGTTTTTACACCGTCCTTCCAGCGTATAAAAATCAGAACTCTGTCCGAAACTAGGACGGCTGTCGTCAGATGAAGTTCCACTTTTAATTCGCACAGATTCAAGTAGACCGTATAGAAGCTAATCAGTTCCTAGGCGACGATCCACAACATTCGGGAGCTTCCGCATCCACCAAAAATGAGATGATTATTTCTTATACAACCCAGAGTCTTCCCGTCACCGATGAGTATGTGGCATCTTCTTGGCACGCGAAAGTTATTTTTCTCGCTACAATCCTTCGATTCGACAACAACTCACAGACGATTATATTTCATGCGAACCATAAGAGATAGAAATGGAATCAGATGCCCACATCTGCTCGCGCCACTCAAAATTAGGCTAAGACCCGATCCAGCAGAAATCCCCTCAACTTCAACTAGTGTGCAACGAGATAGTAAGTAGCTTCGTGATATTCTGGTCCTCAGTTGCAAATAACCAATAAAAAATTATGAGACGGGATTCAGTGACCATTCCAAACAATGATCAGTAAACGAATCACCGTTCACCGAAGCGCCAGCAGCCTGCCTCGCTCGTTACCAGCGGAACCCAGGGCAAACAAATGAAGCTCTTAATTATTGCGCATCTATCAAGCCATATCAACGTAAGTGCTGTATATCGACCTACAACTGACCTTACTTATCTAACTGGCATCGACTTCCGCACCTAATCGGCTCTACTCCGAACTTACCTGTGAACCCGCCTGCGCGCACTCAAATACAAAACCTAACTTTTCGCTCTTCACTGAACTACTCATTACTCAATCAATACTGAACGGATCTGTTCGAAATTTTGAATATAAGTAGTTATTATCAATGCGCTGTGCCTAAAACAATTACAAATTTTTAGTTCATTTCGTTTTCAATTAAAACGAAAAAAAATTTTGTAGGCAACCGAACCACTCATATCTTCTTCAATACTGAACGGGGTCTGCTTGAAATTTGAAATATAAGTAACATAGCATAACATTACATAGTGATCTCGGCGCTGAAGTGTAGGCCTGATGTGGCCTGTCGCCGATTCTTTTCCTTTTCGTGCCTTGTTCACAGAAGATCTAAAATCGTGTCATTTGACCGGATCTTTTCATGACTGACGATAGTTTGAAGTAGCTACTAGACTTCCACCGAGTTCGATAAGGTGCTAGGCATTTCAAATCTGAACATATATTTTTCCATAGCTTTATCTAATCTGTTCTTGAACGCGTTCATACTTGGAGCGCCAACGATGTCATTGGGGAGGCTGTTCCACATGTCGGTGATTCGATTCAAAGCGAGAAGAAATTTTGTCGCGTGGAGAAGTTGCAGCGCAGTTTTTTTAGCTTATAGCAGTGGCCCCTGGTGTTGGTTCTTGTTTCAAATTCTAGTAATCCTTCGGGGACCTTGTATAGACCATGGGTATACTTGTATACTTCAATGAGGTCCCCACGCAGACGTCGATAACTGAGGCTTGGAAGCTTCATAATCTTCAATCTTTCTTCATAGGACTTGCCCTTCAAGCCTGGGACTATCCTTGTTGCACGTCTTTCAACATTCTCTATTAAATTTCTGTCCTTTTCAAATCTCGGTGACCACACAACGTTTCCAAACTCTAGATTCGGGCGCACGACAGCAACAAACAACTGCTTCATTGCTTCTGCATCTAGGAACTCGTATGAGCGTCTGATTAGTCCAAGAAGTTTGTTGGATGTGTTATAGTAGTTATAAGTTATATAAGTATAATTATATATAATAGTATTGATCACGGCAATACGATTGATTCGGAAGTATGGAAAATGCGAGGCCTATTTTAAAACTAAAACAACATTTGAGGATCTTTCAAAACTCGAGACTGAGCAGAAACACATCACTGACAGTCTAGAACGTTGAACGTACCCTATGTTTGAACAACATACGTTTCTTCGGAATTATTGCCTCATTGTGTAAGTCTCCTCACCTTAATTGGGAATATTGGAAATTTGTCTAATTTTGACAATTCATGAAGTATCGCATTACTTTTACTACTTATATTCCAATTTCAAGCAGATCCGTTCAGTATTGAAAGAGTTAAGAGTGGTTTTATGTAGAGGGAAAAGTTAAGTTTTGCATTTGAGTCCGCAGGCGAGTTCGCAGACAACTTCGGAGAAGTGTCGTATTCGGCGACTTCCGCTAACCCTTACAGAAAAATAAAAATAATGAAAAGCCCACGATATGTGTCCTTACTATAATTCTGTCGACGTCGTTGAGATCAAATAAGTTCTACGCATCTCTAATGAACGATCAATATAAACGTCATCGCTCCGAGATTTATATTTTCGCCTCGATATAGTGCAATAATCAATAAGCAATCTCTATATCGCAATGGAGCGTGACAGCAATCTCTATATCGCAATGGAGCGTGTCAGCAATCTATATATCGCAATGCAGCAAGTTTCCAGTAGTTAAGTTTTCGTTATATTATAGAATAGAAATGTCGGCACTGAAGAAATAGGCCCATCGCCTGTTGCTAATTCTTATATTTTTCGTGACTTGATTCCACAATGGATCCGGCTTTATGAACCCGATCTTTCCATAACTGACGATTGATTGAGATAGCTGCTGGACTTATTGCATGGTCCGTAATTTGCTAGGCATTTCAAGACTGAACATATGCTCCTGCATAGCTTCGTCTAGTCTGTTCTTGAAGGCGTTCATACTCGGAGCGTCAACGATGCTATCAGGGAGGCTGTTGCACATGTCGGTGGCTGGAAGCAAGAAGAGATAGATTAAAGAAGATCTGGCCTGTCACCGAAAATGAATGTTCACGTATTGCAGGCGGTTTCTAATCTTAATTTCCGTGTGCTGATCATAAAATATCCTGTTTGAGAGTCATGATATTTATTTTAGCAATCTCCTGGCAATAACTGATCACCTTGAAGACAATAACCAATTTGAGCACCAGTTTATGTCCAGTACCCAAGCCCATGGAATCTTGAGGATATTTTCAGTGCAGGGATTGACTCCATCATTCCCTCACATGCAAATATATTCCATGTTATTCTCCAATTAAGGAATTATGCAGGTTGAATTTTTAAATATACGTAAATTAATTCATTTTTCGTTCATGGTGTTTATATCTTAAGTAGACATTTTAATGAATAATTGACGAAAACTATAATTTTGTATGAGCAATATTCTTCGTTATGTTTTGAACAATCATAGCTGAGACCGCCATGTGGCTAGACTACTTCCGATGAACAAAATATTCTCAGGTCAGAGATACCGAGGAAAGCTTGTGCATTTCAGATTGGGTTCTCAATGGTCTGCCGTCATGTACTTATAAAACATATATATAGTGTGTTAGCCCCCTTATGTGCCACGAATTGTATTTTTTAATGTTTTCGAAATGCGAGAAGTGACTAAAGTTATTAAAGTGAGTCTCCATATCTTCGTCAACCTCGTTAAATTAATAACGACCAATTAACGAGCTAAGACCAATTTGTGGTTGTGATTGGTTTTCTCAATGTTTATCGGAAACACAATGTCATTGAAAATGAAGAAAATATAGCTTTTCCTCTATACGGGGCTTAGCAGCGATTCAATGTATAGAAATTGGAATTTTTTAGCTCTAAAACCAAAAGGTCTTTAAATTTAGACTCAGCCGCTATCTAACAAGAATCATGCACCTGCTGGGATGATTTAGCGTGGAACAGCACTGTAGTGCTGAAATATTTACTTGTTAGGAAATTTAAACGAATGCTAAGCTAGCGTGATTGATATTTGAACATTTATGTTAAGTGATGAATATTACGTAAGTTCTTGGTTTGCTTGATTTTCTGGGTAAGGTGTGATGAGCAATGATGTCTGTGAACTTTAATCCTGTGCTTGGAAGCAGTTGAGCATCGATCAAGAAGCTTAATATTGCAATCTACAAAGAGAATAAATGTGGTAAGGAGCCTGCTCCAGAATCACAATATCAGGGTAAATACATTGGGATTAAGTCTTACCAATATTTTGATGGAACTACGTTAACTGGGACATGTAAGCACAATGATGCCGTGTTTGAAAAACACTGACAATAGAAGGTATTTAAAACAATTTATCAACTCAATGGCTTTAATTGAGCAAAAATTGATTAATTCGTCGGAATTGTTCAAATTCATTGATATATTGAAAAATACTTCCATGAAAATCAATTGGCTGACACACTTTCCGTTACTACGGATTGATATTGCTACACCGGCTTCGATCTATTAGGTGCCAGCGCCGGTCTTGTTACAAGTATATACCTAATACTTATATATTGTATTATTGGATTGCAAGCTTTATTTATTAATCAAGAGAAGCACAACTTCATAAGACCTATAATGTCTAACAGATTGTGAGTAACTAGTGTAATTTTATTCATTGGTTTATTTACTTGAAAGTTGAATACACTGTTAACTGATCTGGACTCAAATCATTCGATCATGGACTGATGGAGGCAGAACAATAACATTATGTTGAAGTTTGAACCCATTTCCCTATTCTGAAACTGACTGATGCATGGGCTGTGAGGAACTAATGGACAGCATAGCTTTGGCATGTGAAGAAATTTGTTTTATTTGTGGAGCAATGCCAATGGTCCATGGTCAGGAAGATGTGCCAGGTGCGCGGGAATTTATATTGTCATTTTAACGACCTGCGCGGTGCGCCGTACTATGCCGGTAAAAAAGATTCGCCGTGCGCCGACAGCGCCGTACTTTTAGAAAGCTAAAATAGTTTAAATATGGACGCGCGGCAATGCAAATTACGTAATCACACTGTACCGTACACACAAACATGTAGGTATCCGCACTGTGTTGTGGTTGGATACGAGTTAACTAGATTGCTACCGCGTCAACTCAGGACTCAGGTTCTAAGAGTCAGCACAGTAATGAATATTCATTCATAGATCACAATTCAATCGGACATGAATTACAGAACTGAAGAAGGCAACATGGCTTTAGATGTGCCATCGGTGCCTTCTAATGAATGACTGGACTGGTTGCGGCAAGTAGGGTATGAACCTGTATGTCAACAGTACGATCCTGCATGCCAATGTTATGACTACATTTACATTACCGACATGCGACATCCTCCCGGCCGGCAAAATCGACACGATCAATACCTAATAACAATGCGCGTAAATTGGCAATGCTGGTTCAGCGTTACTTGAAATCATCTACAGACGATGTTGCCATTCCATTCAGATGAAAACTGTGTCTAAATCAGAACTGTGTCGGATGGCTCCGCGGCCCGCGCCGAGTACTGCGCGGCGCGGAATCGATGACCGTGATTTGCACGAACGTCTGCGCGAACAAAATATAATTAGATTGATTTACGCGAGAAATTTCCCCGTTTATATACATCTTCCTGAGTGTGGCCAATGGTTAGGGTAAATGCGGTATATTCCGACATCGTAGGTAATTCCGTCACTTCTCTAGTTTTTCCTTTATATTAAGCTTTGTTTTAGTTCCATGCGTTAATTGATGGTTGAAATGGTGACGTCATACATTTGCGTGTCGAAATACTGCAAAAACACTAGTGTAAACGCGGTATATTCCGACATCGTAGGTAATTCCGTCACCTCTCCAGCTTTTCCTTTATATTAAGCTTTGTTTTAGTTCCATGCGTTCATTGATGGTTGAACTGGTGACGTCATACATTTGCGTGTCGAAATACTGCAAAAACACTAGGTCTTGGCCATCTTAGGCTCTTAGCCCATCTAGTGGGAAAATATTGAGATCCAAAGAGAGACAATGCATGCCACGTGGTGAGATCATCAAAAAATGTGTCAAATTTGACAGTTGACATGGCTCTACCAAATAGTGTTAACTGTTAATAAAATAACTGTTAATAAAATAACTGTTTTTATAGGAAGAATATTATGGTTTGAAACTTTTAAATATGTCTGTGAATATATTAGGAATCCTTTAAGTATACTTGTATTCGCTGATTTCAAGTCGTAAATAAATTAATAGATGATTTGCTGATTTCAAGTCGTAAATAAATTAATAGATGATTAAGTTGAGATGTTGGATTTAGACACATGAAAACTAATTCCGACACAACTTGAATTGGACACACACAGATCGTTCAAAGCTTTGTACAAAAATTGAAATTTGCCTAATTAAAAGCCTAATAGCTGTTGATTAAAACGTAATTAAGTAGTGTTCAATATTCGTTAGTGTTCTAATTCAAAACCGTGTTGTATCCCAATACAGCTCACACAGCAAACGGAATTCGAACACGTGGATGTTGGCAATACGTATCTGTTAAATTTGAAGCGCTGACGCAATACGACTCACCACGTGTCG